TTAGGAGCTTCATCCGATTTTCGTCATGTTAAATCAGGTGTCCCTCAAAGGTCTGTGTAGGTCTCCAATGTTGTTTTATCTTTCTTTAAGATGAAGCCTGGACAAACGAATGGGTTTCTTTCTGACCATCTCGCAAATGTCTAAATTACATTTAGTCGGGGTACTTTTAAGCATGGAGGTATAAAATGTATCCTCAATGGCGGCGGAACGTTTTTGAAAGTGGGGGAGGGGTATTTCATAAGGTCCAGTATAGGAGCGAAGCGAGCATCTAGGCTGAGGAGCCAGGGGGTCCAGGGGCGAAGCCAAGCATATGTTACGAGTTTGGTGAATTTTATTACTTATTTTATAGGCATCAAACTACTGTAATATGACTACATAATTGTTGTAATTTCCAGTGGCGGATCCAGAAAGTAGAAAGGGGGCCCGTGAGGGGGTACTTTCACAGATGGAGGTGCTTTCACTGATGAAGGGTGCATACTACCTCAGCCCCACCATGGTTGGGGCTGAGGTAAAAAATGTTGTGATTGAGGCACACCTAGATGGCCGGAAATTGCACTTCCAGACATAGAATTAAAATATAATTTTCTTTATATCTCCTTTTTAAAAAAATTTTAACAATTTAGGGGGACCTAGTTGGGCCCCGTTGAATCCGCCACTGAGTACTTTCGCAGATGGAAGACCTATACCATATCAGCCCCACCATTGTTGGGGCTGAGGCGAGAAAATTTGTGATTATGCTACCCCTAGATGGCCGGAAATTCCACTCTCAGACTTAAAATTTGAATATAATTTTCTTTATATCTCCATAAAAAAATGGTTTTTTTAAAATAAAATTTAGGCGCCCACACTTTACGAAGAAAGCCTATGTCAGGATTGCTTCCACGATCTCAATAGAGTATTTATCATGAGGGGTATCCTTGAACCTCCTTCACTTTTCCCCGATGGATAATTACAGATTTAAAAAAATTGAATACAATTTTGTCTGTCTTCTCCATTTCTTTTATAATTTTGAAAAAATAGGAGGTTGGGGGCCCGTGTTGACTGGGCTCCCCCTTGAATCCGCCACTGTTCAATATAACACTTGACATGACAGGGTGTACCCTAAATTTGTCAGATGGAGAAATCTTTTAACCTATCCCTTTGTTTCACAAATGACTAACTCCTAATGAAAGATTTTTATCATTCGAAAGGGCTTTTTTATTCAACACTTTTGTAATTTTTACAACCTATAAAGCATTAAGATACAAAGTACTACAAATTCTGTAGTTAACCTTCAGAAAACTTTATTTTAAGAAATAGCCTAATTAAGTATTTTATTGCTTTCGTTAAATTAGATGAAATTTAAATGCGGTTGCATTACGCTAGTTTGGAGGTTTACTGTCAGCCAATCAGCTACACTTAAATATTCATGGTTAACGTAAAGAGAACTAGAGCGTCTCTCATAAAGAGTGCCTACCTCCACCCTATGCATAAATACAGAATTCGTGCAAACCAGTGATTCCATTATTTTTTCTTCATGCTCGAGGGTAAGTTTCAAGAAAACTTTACAGATGCACGTATATACAGACTCAATCAACATCTGTTTGCTCAACTCAAAAGGGGGAACTTGTAATGTTCGTTTGAAAATGAAAAAAGAAATTTATATTGTATAAAAATAATAGGTCGATTTATAAAGCGCAAGTAATAATAATAACATTGCACGTTCGTAATGTTTATCACTGGTGCTGAGAACAGTCACAAAAGTGGGGGGATGCCCCCCGTAGAAAAAGTGGGAAGGCCAATAGCCCCTGACAACCACCCCCATCTGCTTCCGCCGCCGTTGCCTTGTTTTAAGATACCTGATCGGATCCACAGACAAACCTTTAATGCTTATATATTTTAACAGATATAAGGCCAGAAATATCAATAAATTTGAAAAAAAAATATTCAAGGATATTCAGCACATTTTACTTCGACCTAGTGGACATTATATGAGTCTCAAGTATAATATTGAAAAAAATAGAACAATCTTCTACCTAATTGCAGGGAAGTAAACCTAAAACGTATTTATGAAGTATGATCACCAGACCTAATTCAAAAACATGAACAATATAGTTAAACAAACTTTTAAAAATCAAACAAAAATGTATAGTTTAATAAAATTTTAAAAAAGTATTTTTTGGTAGTGCATCGTACATTTTTTCGAATAACATTGACCATTGTATTATTATGCCTGTGGCCTGTCACGCCAAAATTGGTCCGGGCCATAAAAGACCCGGTGAACTAACACACAGCATGCATCATTTTCGGCGGCCGTGCTTAGGCTTATAATACAACACAAGACTGATTTATTAGTTTTAAATATTTCATATCATTGTGTGGGGTACAGGGTGGGGCATTAGATCATGCAATAGTTGTTCTGGTTATTACATAAAAATATAAAAGGGTCAGTAATTTTTTTTCAAATGATTGGTCATCGTCGCGGCGTTAAGCAAGCACACAACCAAAACAAAAAAAAGTAAAAAATAAGCTAAACTAAAGCGGACCAACACAATTTACGACCATATAGTTTAACTTCTTTTCTAACTTTTACACCAAGAGTTTACTGGGCGCGAAGTGCGAAAATAACATATTCATTTTGATGGCATACTCAATTGTACACATAACCAATGAAAAAAATATTATATAATAAGAGATGAGATATTTTATATATCATTTGTTTAAAAAGAGATATGAAAAACGTTAAAAAATACAGGTTATAATTACTAAATATACGCAGGACCGATTTTTGCTTTAATGTGGACTACATTTGGCAGGTAATTAAAGCCCGATTTTGGCCCCTGTAGACGGTTAATGATTTTGTACCGGTAGACCTGACAGGTCTACCGGTATGAATATGTGCATATACTATGCGTCTTTAACGATGCAAAATGCAGGCGAAGTTCACAATTTGGCGGATAAAACGACAATATCCTTAGAAAAACTCAAGCAACACATTGAAATACATTCCAAAAACAACAACAAAAGACAGAACAAAATCAATACACACAATGTTAAACAAGTGAGCCTTCGTAACATTAAAACGACCAGAGTCTCGCGACGTAACAAGGAAATAAAAATTTCACAATCTCTTATTATGACGCATGAGACATAGATTTATATCTATATAGATCAGAGGTGAGATAACATGTGCCTCTTTACACCCCTCTCCCTATTGATCTAGGCAAATTAATACAAATGAAAATCGTAAATTTTTAATTACTTGTCTCCATGGTTGGTGACTGTATATTTTCCCGTTCATTTCTTTCCCCCACTTTGGAACATACTGGGGCAATAAACTACATATTATACACTTTTTTTTTTATAAGAACACATTTTAAAGGTACACTGAGGCTTGAATCGCTTAAATAATTAAACAACAAAATAAAAACAACTTAAGGCTGAGGTAAATGTCAAATGGGGTTTTGATTTTTAAGAATAGAAAAAAAAAACAACAAATCTTTATACCTACAGTACGGTAGCTGTGACTATTTAATACCCTCTATAATACAGTACAGTTATTATACTGCTGTACAATAATAATTTTAAATGTTTGAAAAGTGTGCAAAAAAATTTAAAATAAGAACAAAATAATCGTCAAAATTTTACTGGTTCTTATTAAAAAATGTGTAGACCCTATTATGTCGGATTTTATGTGCGATATAGAATTAGTTCAAACAAACCGGTTAATTCAAAATTTAGGCCGACTCATTTTCATTCTCGTACTAATTTGTCAAATTTTCCGTTTATTCCTTCTCTCAGACAATGGAATTTAGTACCTGTAGTCACTATATTTAAATTTATGGTTTTAACTAAAGCGAAGTTTTAAAATGATTCGTTTATGTTGTTACCGTTTTAAATCTTTCATTGTGCATATTTTTAATTTAATTAAAATTTCTATATAATATAATACGTATGTTTTTAAGTTTTACATGTATTGTTTTCCACCTTGGAGAACGAGTAGACAGTGATTTGTTTCGCTTTTTGGTTTCTGTCAGGTTGTTAACGATTGCTCTTTTTCTGTATTTCTATGTATTGTCTGTATTTTCTCGTCTCCAAACATTTGATGTTTTCTGGAGACAAATCAAATGAGATTAAAGGCCTATTATACATCATGTCCCATCGTAGAGGTCTACTACGATATTGAGAAATAATATTTGAGAGAAACGTATGTCCCCATCGTGAATGGACCCACGAATTTCCGACCGTTCGTTATAGGCCTACTCATCAACTTAAAAATGAGGCCTTGTAGCTCATTTGGTAGAGAATCCGAACGGTGATCGGAAGGTCTTGGGTTCGAAATCCAAATGGGGACATACGTTTTTCTAAAAAAAGTCCCTATTTATTATCATCTTTAATTGTCACCAGCGGATGTGTATTTCCATACCAAAGTTACTATCATGTGATTATCAAGTTGATGTATTACACAAGAGTCAAATAGGGATTTAGGAAGGACGAAAACGGTGTAATCGTTGAGACTACGAACTATAATTAGTTTTAATTTTAGAAGGGAATATGCATCATACATTTACAATGGTCTAGATAAGGTAATTATTTATCAGAAAAAGGAATAAACGTAGGCCTAGGCCAAACCAACACATAACGATCAACAGTTTAGAAATTTGAAATATAATAACACCTAAAATATTTCGAAGTTAAATATAGAACATTCTTACTGCGAAACTGTTAAAATATTGGTGCGATGAGGAACTGTGCAAAACTCTTTGGACCAGCCAATAACAAACCAATGAAAAACCAGTTTGGATAGAGTTAGGACTACGTCATCTACATTGTGAATGTAGACTTTTTTCATCCTGTAATAGTCTAATTATTAAAGCACCCTACAATATTACACCCTCTGTTGGATATGGTCTTATCGCTTCAATGACTTCTATACAGAACTTTTTTGATTAAATCGACATGTCTTTTGTTCTTAACCACATACATCTGTAATTGATGATGGGTGAACCATATTGTGGAGGATGGTGACGAAGTATTATATTGCTAAAAACACTATTGAGTATTTATAAGCGTACCTGTAACAATTCTCACAGTGGTTCTATATATCTATTTGACATGCTCTCAAAAAGGTACGTTTAAATGGATTTTAAAGTACTGTTTGTTTCTTTTATTTTGATCTGGTATGGGTTGACGGAAGCACGAACCTATCGTTACTGTGAGTAGTTTTATTTGGCATTTCAGTTCAAATTTGTAAAACCTTTGAAAAAGAATATGAGACTTTAATCAGATGATGGTAACTGAAGGTTGGCATGGCGAAGTTACAACAATAAAATGCTTGCGGAACACCACGTAGATTTGAAAAGAAAAAAGTGCTCCAATTAAAGTCATTAGGAGAATAATATCTGAATTATTATTCTCCTGGTGATGATTGAAGCAGCTCAATCAAAACGTCGAAACACTCTGGACAAAACAGTCTTTCGTACCTACGTGGTGTACTTCAAGCATATAGGATGGCAACTTTGATCAAAATGAAATATGTTTCCTCCACATATATTTTCTTCAAAGTGTGTTACTTAAAATTAATAACAAACACACATTTTGAAATAGATGTGCTATCCATAGTGTTTAGTCCTATTACATTTGTGAATGATGAAATAAGCATGCTTTCTGAACTCAATCATATTTTTTTTTTACAGTATCCAGATCTAAAAGACAAGATGTTGAATGCATTCCCAGAGGAAACGCGCTTACTACTTCTATGTGCGATCGCGTTATCCCAATTCCAGATGAAATTAAGCAAGAATTTAGTCTGGATCAATTCTACCATAACTATACGAATGCATACGGAATCCCGATCCTGTCGTCTGGAGCGGTGCCGCTAGCAGCGATGCAACGCGCGTGTTACACCGTACGATTCATGCTCGCTGATCGTGATGATGTCCGTAACGCAATGCACAACAAATGTGCGCGTGTATCGATCATCGGCTTGAATGAATTGACCAATCAGATTCCAGAATATTCATTCTTACCCGACAGCGAAAATGAACGTGCACGTGGGATCGGGGGAACCCTGAACAATCCTGTTACAACGGTCGCTGAAGAAAACCTACTGTGTCTAGACTATGAGCATGACAGGTGGTTTAGAGAAGACATTGGTGTACACGAATTTGCTCACGCTATTCACAAGATTGGCATGAACACCGTTGATTCTGGCTTTAGTAAACGTTTGAGAAATGCTAAAAATGCAGCCATCAGTATGGGCCTTTGGGAGTCAACCTACGCAGCATCAAACGCTCAGGAGTATTATGCTGAGGGAGTGCAAAAGTTCTTTGGGGTCGACGTTATTCAAGAATATACAGACGGCGTCCACAACAACATCAGCAATCGGATTGAGTTACTCGAATACGACCCGCAATTGTATTCTTTCGTGCTGGAAACGTTTCCATGCGCAAACCACATAGTTTCAAGGTGTGAAGATCAAGGTAGGTTTAACATTAAGCGTATGCTCATTAATTGGACCGTCCATACACAAAGTTTGTTGCAGATCTGTTTTCCCACTAGGGCTACATCGTCACATTTTGATGAGCTTACAATACACAACAATTAGCTCTTTGTGAATTACAGTGTTAAAAACAGAGCCTATAGCTGTTTTGTTCACACTAAAAAATTACGACCACAAAGTAACTATTAAGCAGACAATTATTCATTCATTCATTTATTATTTATTCAGCCAATATATACAAAACATGTGATCAAAACAATAAAGACAATTAAATTACCTAAGTTGGCTTGGATTAACGATAGTGTTAGTTAAAACACTCTGCCCTCAAGCCTGTTAGTCCAGCTATTAAATTAAATAAATAATGTAGCATTTGTAAATAAATAAATACAATATAAAATTAAATCTGATTTTATTCTACAAATTATTTCTTTATAGTGTTCTTTTAATTTGTAACAGAATGTCGACATCGATTCAAACAAAAGCGAGTCTTTTAAGTCATCTGAGACTGGGCAGACCAAAGTCGTGGAAATTCATTTACAGAACTAGACTTTTCCTTTTCCGTGAAACGGCACAGTAGCCTACAGTTATCCTCTAGTAAGGGGGTGGGGACACGCTTTGTTTGTGCAAAATTGTCATCTCAACTCAATTTTTTATTTAATCAAAACAAATACAAGTGCACCCTCCAATTCCAACCCCCTCTAATAATTGGAGACCACTTTTTAAAGAACCTATCCTCAATCTATTAACAGTAACTAACCATGTAAGAACCGAACCTCGAGGCCACCTATCAAAGCTAAATAATTAGGCATTTGTTTAAACCTGTATTGAAGATTTTCCAGCGTTTACACCGATTTACCGACACCAAATAATTTGTCATCATCTATGCCACAAACAATTGTTGAATAAACTGACCCAGATGAAGAATTATATGCTGCATCCACTGCACACGCCAATGCCACTAAGACACACTGTCGGCTGGTTTGAATAGAATAGACTATTTGCAGTACTTTATTATGGTACTGTTATGACTTAATCGGCGCCTATTTAAAAACATCTTGCTTTCACGTAGTTGAAATCCAGTAAACTGTCACACACTGTTTTACACTGAGACAACCGTACAAGACACAATATTAGAATATATTTAAGAAATAGTCTTCAGTGTTTATATTAAAATATATTTTTTAAAAATAGTCATTAAACAATCACAGTGTAGCATTATATAGCAAATAGAACAACTTATTGATCAATAAATTAATATTAACATTCCATTTTCATAGTAATCATGTAATATAGCCTTCTCTATTAAATCACCTTTTGAAATTTACATTTAACAGCATTAATATCAACTCAACCTTTGATGATGAATTGCTATAGTGAAATGATGGAAACCATGGCTACTGCCGAAAAGGAATTTACGGCCGAAGTCGGTGAGTAAAGCCAAGCATACACTGCGTCTGCCGCCAAACGACCGTCGACCGACGAAATGGCATGTCCACTTTTTGCGCGAGCGCTTGGTGGCGCGGCACCGTCTGTTGAATGACGGGAAAGACTGTGCGGACCGTCATTAAAAACGATGCATTTCGCTTGTCTTCTATGGAATCGCATCGACTGACGACCCTCGGTACAGTGTGTTGCTGGATAATTTCCAATCGACAGATCGGTGCTCGAGTCAAAACTGGCCATTTTTTGTGTCCATGGGAGAGCCACTTTGTCTAAGTTGTCTCTTTCAACCAATGATATACTTGTAGCTAGCTCCATGCTGGTACGTTAGACTTAAAACGTTACAAGTTTAATAAATATATTATAAATAATAATATTGATTTTTTTCTCTTATAAGCTACCGAAAATGGTGAACCATCTGCGAACGTCGTATCAACGATAATCAGCACGATGCGTACAGAACCTAAGACACCAACAGAGGCAGAAACTTGTGAGAACATTTCTATTTGCTTAAATTAAATAAATTGAATTTATTTTGATATATTATTTTGTGATTGTAGAAGGATGTGAATATATGAAGCTACTAAGTGTCTCTCGGGCCCAGTGGCGGCTCTAGGATATATTGGGGGAGGGGGGCTAAGTTGTCCGACAAGGGTGACTTGAGCTCGTTGGCTCGAGCTGGGGGAAGGGGTTGAGAGGGGGTTTCCCCCTCCTAAATGAGATTTTTTTTAAAGAATATCTAGATGGCCGAAAATGGCACTCTCAGATTGTGACAGACATGTGGGCCTATTTTTATATTTTTATGTTCTGGCTGCCCGACGAGCTCTGTCCGGCGGATCGGGGGGCTTGACCTGTCCGGTGGGCCCCCTGCCCCCCGCTGGCGCCGCAGTGCTCGGGCCACGCCCATACACATTTCAGCACAATGGAGCTGTTAGTTATGTGGTTTTTCTCCTACCTTTACACCCATATGATTATTGTTGATTTATAAACGAAGCTGCTATGATGATCTATATATTGTTAATGATAATGCCGTTGGTGGTGGTAATTATGGCGATAATTACGGTTACAGTGTTGTTTCTCAATGATATAGATTTCAACCACAATGTACAATTTATTTGAGTATGTAGAAATTTTATCTGGTATGTTCGATACTACAGCGTTACAAGTTGTATAGGTGTAGGCCTATATAAATAATAACTAGTAACAGGCTAATTTTTTTTTTACAAGCTACCGAAAATGGTGGACCATCTACGAATGTCATATCAACGATAATCAGCACGATGCGTACAGAACCTAATACTCCAACAGTGACAGATACTTGTGAGTATATTTCTATTTGCGTATTAAATTGAATTTATGTTGATATATTATGTTATCATTGTAGAATGATGTGAATATATGAAGCTACGAAGTGTTTCTCTAAGGCCAATATTCATGGGCCACGCCGCATACACAATTCAGCGCAATGAAGCTGCGACTTACAGTATGGGGTTTTTCTCATACTTTTACACCTCCGTTTGCTGTTGATTTAACTAAGCTGCTACTAATGATGATGTTCTTTATATTGTTAAGGCCAACTCAGACAGCGTCGGCCGACGCAGCCCGACCCGATTTATCGTCGGGGACAGTCTTAAAGGCCAACTCAGACAGCGTCGGCCCAACTCAGACAGCGTCGGCCGACGCAGCCCGACCCGATTTATCGTCGGGGACAGTCTTAAGCCGTCGTGAGAAATATTAAACATGTTTAATATTCTACGACGCGATTGCCCCCGACGCACACCATCGCGTCTGCGTTCAACTCACACAGACCCGACGCGACAACAAATCGCGTCGGGCTGCGTCGGCCGACGCTGTCTGAGTTGGCCTTAAATGATGATGATGCCGTCGGTAGTGGTCAAGCTAATTATGGTGATGATTACGGTTACAGTGTTGTTTCTCTATGATGCAGATTTCAAAAACAATGTACAATCAATCTATTTCTGATTTGTTGTTATATTATGTTATTCGTTATGATTTGGATATACTCGATTATAAATAATATACAATAATAAATAAAAGAACGAACGGAGGATGAACAAACGAATGAATGAGCAAAACTTTACCATGCTTTTGAAATATCTGACAGATTATGGTCTCTCTTCTCTCATAGTGTGCCTTGACCAGTACAGCTTATGCAATATTTATGCAACTGAAAGTATGTGCAGAAATTACCCTATAATTCAAAGACTTTGTCGGTTTAGTTGTCATCTCTGTAATGGTAATATACCTTATTATTTAAAAATGATTTTGTTTTATGATTTAACCACAGCAAAGCAAACATACCATAACATTCCCAGACTGACCCAGCAGTGAGAGGAAAAAAAACGTAATGTCTCCACACAAAAAGTCATAATAATGGCATAAGCAGAATCACGAAAACTTAGAAGTCTTAGCAAACTCCATTCCACCTTAAATTTGTCTATATCACAATTTATACAGTAGCTTAAACATAATCCTCTACTTGTAGAATACATTTTGTAAATTTGGTCAAAATTTGGAATAAATGTAGGCCTATCATTAGTTTATTGTTCTTTTAATTCAATTCAATTCAATTTCAATTCATTTTATTCAGTCTATTATACATGAATATTATAACAGAGATGTGTTTTGAAGCTAAGCGATCAAACATAAATATAAGATATGATATTCTCGTTACTTAAAATAAATCTATTGCATCTTTTGGAAGAGTAGGGGTTGTCCCGATGTTCTCTCATTTCAGCCGCTCTCGTTGTAGAATGATGTGAATAATATGAAGCTACTAAGCTCCTCTACAGCAGCTACTCACGGGCCACGCCCATACACGAAGGCTGCGAGTTGTGGATTTTTCTCCTACCTTTAAGAACTACTCTACTCATCTACCTTTATGATTGTTGATTTAACGAAGTCGTTACCTTATACACATCTAGATGTGTATAAGAGACAGTATATATATATATATATATTGTTGGGTATTATATGGTAGTATTGTTAGGGGTTTTTTTGTCAATGATACAGATTTCAATAACAATGTACGATCAATCTATTTCAGTGTGTAGTAATTTCAACTCACAATGTGAATTATGGTACGAAGAAGGAATTTGTGAAATCTATCCAGGCTCTATGATGGCAAATTGCAAGAAGGCATGCCGCTGGTGTTAATGTGTTTTGCTCCTTAAACATTAGCGAGTAGCGATAAAGCATTGATAACTAATACAGTATATGGACTGGCTTTCTGGAACTCGCATAAAAAATGCTCATTGGAACCTCATATCAACCCAACCTGGATTCGAACCCGGAGGTTTACTACCGTTGAGAATTAACATATAATGTTCATGAATAACTACAAGAAAGTTTATATCTCTTTTCGTGCCACATTTATTATTATTATTATTATTATTATTATTATTATTATATAAGCCTAACTGTAGCTATTTTAAAGAATTTATTACGGTACGTACATGCATAAAAACATGTTCTTTTTCGATTACCAATGCTCGTCAATGAATATGTTGTTTAAAAAAACACCAAGGATAATGAGAAGTAGTGCCTTGCCAGAATTGTTAACATACAAAACAGGAAAGACATGATTAGTGCATCCGTCATTCTTCTCGTTCCATTACATTTAAGTTGTCATTCATTTCTAGACATGATAAGTTGTGGTTTTGTGTGCTACATCATTTTAATTTATGGTACAATATACAGTGAATTTTTTTAGTACTTTATGTGATAGGCTGATCATTATCGTTTAATTGAATAATTATGCTGACTTTGAAATAAATCGCAAGATTTTGTCCAAATGTTTTTACCTTACCTTACCTTACAGATGCACAATATCGATAGTACTTTAATTCATTGTGAAGATAACGATGGGACGGAAGTTATTCAGAAAAATTATCGACTATACTGACAATTAATGTTGCTATGCAAAACTGGGTGGCTTTGACAACGTCACCTATTCTTCCATGAGACGTTCAGTGGTGTTAAAATCCATATCATATTGACCGGCTTTTAAATTTGTCTGAAGAGTGTTTGAGCCTATATAGATCTAATTGCAATAAATAATGTCAACGTATTAGATCAATATAATCATTGACAAAGTAGGGATACTCTGCTTGTTCTACCGTGACCAGGCCTATTATTCAACACCATATACCGTCGTAGGTCTACTTATAAAATGATGATAATAAATATTTGAGAAAAACGTATGTTTCCATCTGGATTCAAACTCAAGACCTTCCGGCGGTTACAATTCGGATACTCTACCAACCCCCTAACAACTGAGTATCCAAACAGTAACTGCAAGATCTTAGGTTCGAATCCTGATGAGGACATACGTTTTTCTCAAATATCTACCAATATATATATACCAAAGTGAATATCATGTGATTATTAAATTGATATATCCCATCATTACGAACTTGTCAAAGCAGGGGTTTAGGAAGGATGATCAAACGGTGCAAGGTCCTCCCCTCCTCATAGGCTATGTGCCACCTTCTTCCCCTAGAAAAATTCAATGTTTCATCATTAGGCCGTTGTCATCATCAGCAATTCTCAACGATATACATTATGCCTACTACTTCTTTAGTGTTTCTAAGATGTTGTTGACATAGGATTCTGTGTACTACATTTAAGTTTGAATTGACATATTCAACAATACGCGAGCATACAGTGGACTAGTATTAGATTCAATGAACTGATCAATAACCTTGAATAGGCCTGTACCTAAGAAATTGGTGCTTCTGATCGGACAAAAGAAAGGTCAACCCAACATTATTTACGTTCTCTTGTCCACAGGCAGCTTCCGTCAAGTCGTTCAAATCGTTTTGAAACTACAAACTGTGATTAGTTTGGATTTTAGAAGCGAATAGGCATCATACATAGACCTTACAGTGGAGTAGATAAGGTAATTATTTACTATATTGTAATTAGGAACAGTAGGCCTGGGCTAAACCAATATTTTTACTACGAAACTGATAAAACATTCCCATTATTAAAAACGGTAAATTGTACTCACAAAAATACACCCTGGCGATAGTGTAGCCCGTTTTAGATCAGAAGCGCCCAGACATTCTTTAAAAATTTACGGTCATTAACTTCGATTAAAAATGAACATTTACTTATTTCAATGTTTTTCAAAAATTCTAGATCATGCCCGGGGATGATCTGCCACAATTCCCTGCACAAACAAGCATGGGTCTTTGCACGTGTAGATTCTCTATTTTACTGTACTTTTTTATGGCCACATCCATATGGTATTCCCGAATGTAGGAATGACCCCGGACAAAATGGCCCAGGAAAAAATGGCCCCGGAAAAAATGGCCCCGGTAAAAATGGCCCCAGTAAAAATGGCCCCAAATGACAAGTAGGTAAAAATGGCCCCAATGAAAAAATTCAGTAATAGAAATGATATTTTTTTTAAATCTTCAAATATTTATAAACTGTAATAAGCAATAATTGAATCAATAACAAATACAGTTACACAACAGATGCAAATAATGTACTGAGAGATTATCAGAAAACAATGGCCATTGAACATTTTTTGATAGTTGAAATAAGTTTTAAAAACGCTATTCCACTAACAAAGTAGAGGAATGACATACATACAGTACCTCAACTACCAAAATATGTAACTCAAAGATAACCACAAAATTCACTTTTGTTAAGTATCAAATGAAATAACTTTACATTTTATAAACAGTGCAAATAAACAGTAGTTAAAGCATGTGGATCAATTGTTTGTTTGAATGACAAGTTAATGTAGGGCCTATGGGAAAAGGGAGGCTTACATTACTTCAACAAATGTTCTGCTTAGAGTTACTTCAAAGAAGTATTTGTTAATCAAATATTGTTTTTAAAGTAAACTGAATAATTAGGAATACATTTATTTAAGCAACTTATTTAATTGCATACTTGATTTCTACTCCCCGCCAAGTAAATTTAAGTGCCTAAAACTATACTAAATAATGTAAACTGAGATACTATATTATATACATAGTTATGTAAATATGGCAATTATGCTAAGAATTAAAATGGCGTGTAATTGTGAGGGTAAGGTAATTATGGTAGGATCAAATGGTATTGCTAAATGCCAAAAACCTCCTAAAACACACTGTAGAAAACCAAACAATTTAATTGTGATTGAATCACTTGGTATATCAATAAGAAAATTAAATATTTATAAGAACCTATTTTTGGTTAAAATGTTGATTTTTTTTTGGTGAAAAAACACTTGCAAATACACCACAATCCTCCAAACACACTGCGAACCCCATCCAAACCCTTTAATTGCGATTGTAGAACTCTCTTTTTCTAAAAAAAAATAAAATAATAATTTGATGTTCATATAAACTCATTGTTTGTTGGGTTTACCAATACCCGGATTGAATTTCTGGAAAATTGTGATTCCGCTTCCTTGAAATTGGCCACAAATAAATTAGGCCTATTTTAGTATTAATAAATGCATGATTTATGTTGATTTATTGATTATGTTGTTGCTATTTTTTAACTTTTAAATGGAAAAAAAATAAAAAGTGTTATTTATGGCTTTTTTTTTATCTTTGAATATTTTATCATTGAATATGTAATTTCTGCAAAAAGTAAAATGTAAATGGCAATTTATTTGATGTTAGATTCCTTTTAAAAACTAAATTATTTCAGTTTAAAAATGCATATAATGATTTTTTTTAAATCAGTTTTAATACAGAATTTTATTATTGGGGCCATTTTTACCTACCTGTCATTTGGGGCCATTTTTACCTACCTGTCATTTGGGGCCATTTTTACCGGGGCCATTTTACCTGGGTCATTTTTTCCGGGGCCATTTTTTCCTGGGCCATTTTTTCCGGGGCCATTCTTATCGTACACCGGTATTCCCTCTTTGTACCCAGGGATCCAAGACAAGTCAGAACCGAATAGGCCAATCCAGCGTGGTACCGGTAATACGGTATTGCACCCAACCAATCATAGTATGCATTATAACAGGCCTTAATTTTTTTATTTTTTAAAAGTTGAACACGTTCAGTATTTCAAAAGATAAACAAAATACTTCATTCATTCTATTCAAATAAACTGAAATGGAAAAACCCTCCTCTTTGAACAGAACTTATTTAAACACACTTAAATCAAGAGTATTTTAAATGTGTTTCATAAAATTACTGTACATAAAATAATCACCAGAAAGCATTAAAAGCAAACAACAAATAGTATTTAATAAATGTAATGTGTATAAATTATCATCTCTTCTAGGTCTAAATAATATTGACTCTGCTGAAATGTGACATAAATTGACGCTATACAATGTTTGACTTTCCACGTGAGACTAACTCCAAGCCAAAAGAAAAAGGCTTGCAGATAGCTAACAAGAGGTTACCGAATGTATCAACTGTACCTGTACATGGTAGGTACAAAAGCTAGACGCTTAACAGTACTCAGTTCAAAAGAGACAATTAAATCTCCATGTCTAGGTCTGATAATGTTGTCGAGGTATTGACTTATGTAAAACCATGGCTTACACGATGCAAAAAAAAAGGACCGTCTCTGCACCCCTGTCTGTTTCTACGAAAAAGCGTGGCAGAATCTGATCTTCCGTCTAGGGATAGCACGCTACCATTTTTTTTTTATCATAAATTGGTGATGAGGCAACTGTTTGTTTCCATCCACTTACTTAATGTTATAACTGTTTTACATTTTTCTTCAAGGCTCAATGACTCTGCCAAAGTGGGATCAATCGTCTTCCTCTAGTGATGAAGAGAATTCAAACGATTTACAAAAGTCATTAACTTTGCGAACTAAGCTTGAGATGTGTTTCAATAGTAAAGTGTTACCATATGAGGAAGAGGAGCAAAGGTTAGCAGTCTATAAGCAGTATGCAAACGGTCTTATTGCAAGAATTCAAAGGAACACATCATTTGTACGCGGGCTAAATCCCATACACGTTGGTAGCTCTGATGACGGTCTAAGTTTAGCTACCAGCGACTTCAACATATTGATACCACTATCCGTAGGTAATTCTGTAGTCAGAGTTGTCGAAATTGCTCCTGGGTGTGTAACCCTAAAACTGCCTCCTGCCCCTATGTTGAAGGAACGAAATGATAAATGGCTGGGATGGAGGTCTGCAGGTGGATACCTCTGCCCGACTTTAGCAAACAAGATGTTCCATGGATTTGCTACACAGTGGTTAGAAATAAGAGGATACAATGACGTCACCATTGAGCCATATGATGTGGTGAACAGTAGATCGGTACGGGTTAGTATCAAGAGACCATCAGTTCTGACAATCACCATTGAGGTTATTCCCGCGTTAAAGCTTCATGGTTTTCAATTTCCGTTCATAGCAAAGAAATTTCAGTTTGCTAGTTCTCCCATGGCATGGTCCATGGTGACGTATGAGCGCGAAAAGGTTCTTCTGAAGTCAATCAACATGGCAGACAATAACTGTAGATCAAAAGCTCTGTGTGTTTTGAAATATCTCCGTCTACATGACAGCGTTCTAGCCAACTTAACTACGTATCAAATGAAGACGTGCTTGCTGCACATAGCTGATTGTGAGATTGACGAAACAAAATGGCGGAAGCAGACAGTTGACCGTTGTTTCATAAAGCTAATTGAAACTTTGATGAAATTCATTGAAAACAAAGAACTTCCACACTTCTTCATAAAAGGAATAAACTTGTTCGAGGATTTTAATAAAGACACTTTAGACAAAGTATATACAAGACTGAACGTTCTAAAGAAGAGAGAGAAAGAACTTGGGAGGTTACTGGCAAAATGAACTTATTCTTTATTTTTATATAATTCGCACGAGTAACCGCTCCAACTAGTGTCTATAGGTTCCTTGCCTTAAACCACTCACCCATTTGCGAGTTTTTGTGATGGTGAAAAGCTTGAAGCTAGTAGGATTGAAATAGCAGTGGGAGCTTAAAAGGGAGTCGAACCTTCGTCACATCCTTATAATATTTTTGGTGTAATTTTCTCCTACTCTACTCTAAACGATCAGGTATGAGACTGTCTCTTATACACATCTACTCTGCTGAAATGTGACATAAATTGACGCTATACAATGTTTGACTTTCCACGTGAGACTAACTCCAAGCCAAAAGAAAAAGGCTTGCTCCGCCTGTCTCTTATACACATCTAGATGTGTATAAGAGCCAGCATATGTATTCACAGACTTGTAAATGCTTCCTTAAAGTGATTTGGTCCCCTCCCCTACTGGAAGAGGTTTGAGAGCAAAAGTCTGGCACCTAAATTTGTCTAACTGGAATCTCTGATTTAGCTAAATAATTAAATTATTAAACAGTTTAATTGTCATAAAGTAAAAAAAAATGGTATAAAAATAATGGTCAGTATACCTGTCTCTTATACACATCTAGATGTGTATAAGAGACAGCGTATTATGTCCTCAAATTTTGCCCAACCATGATGGTGTTCAGGTGGGTGTTATCTCACCAAACGTACCCCATGCCTCCCCCACACACACCTTTCGAAACAGATCTGCACCCTTGTCTTGACGTATTTTTGTTTTGGCATGGGATAGTGTAAAATGGATCTAGGCCACATTGTTGAAACCAAGTTTGCCGAATGTAAGATTGCCTAGCCGATAGACCGAGAGAGCCCCACTTTTTGACAAAAATGAAAAATTACGACTTTTTTACCCAATGGGAAGTGTTCTAATATAGACAATGGGTCGTGTCTCATATTATTTGTTATATTTTTATTATTCATTATTTTCACTTGACTCGCATAAATAATTTTGTTCGAACAACATTTATATGCAGTTGTACTTCGCAGCACTTCACTTGCAATTTGCAATTTCTAGTATTATTATTATTGCGTGTACAGTACTGTACACACAATGGCTACAGTATTTCCGGGATTAAGGGTCAAAGTTACACAATCGATCGTCGAAGAAACGATCTGCACATCATCGCAACAGCATTCTAAAAATAGTTGACCAATGGTGTCAGAAAATGTTATCACATGATGCAGTTGGTCCAATTGTAATCCTTTATGACCACGCTGAATTGCACTTTCATTTTTATTGTCTATCTAATGCGACAGTGTTTGTACGTAGAAATTTGTTACTCTTATACAGTTTATACTATCTAAGAAGAGGTAAGTCCATGAAACGTTATTTGTAATTGAACAATGGTTATAAATTTACAAAATTATAAGTTTTTTTTTTGCAGTGCTGTAGTTAGACGAGCCTCTGTAGAGCAGAACACCGCAGTGCGTGACGTGTTCCTGCTTTCATGGCTAGGCCTAGGTTAGGCCTACCCTAGGTAGAGACCCTCCTGCGCGTAACAGGCCTAGTAATATAGTAGCTAGGTGTATAGGCTGCATCCTAAGTTTCGTGGTGGAAATCACGTATACATTTTGCGGCTTTATACAGAATATATTGTAGCTTTAGTTGCAAAATTCGATAGATTTTGATTATGGACAAAGTTTCAAAATAAAATTTGTCATATAATTTTTGTTTTAGTTGCCTATCAAGGAGCGCTGTTAGTTGCTCTCCTGAACACGTGTTCAGGAGCTTGGAGGAGCGCGATTGCTCTCTTGCGCTCCTTAAAAATGATAGACTGTTTTTGCGAACTCAAAAGTGCACAATTTTTACATATCTGCATAGACCTAGGCTTACATTCTAGTTATTGAATTTTATATAGCTGTTATTAAACGATAATTACTATACAGCCTTAAAAAAGGATAGATCTATCTATTTAGACTTATTTTTAAGTAGTGACACCACAAGTTTATGAACTCCGATATTACGTTGACGCAATCTCGCCATGACATCATAATGATAAATTAAGTAAATCAACTTTGTTTGTGAAAGAGAAATGCTAGGTAATGTTGTGTGTGCTTCCTATTTCCCTAGTCCTGTTTGATCTGAAATTCTATTTCCACTCTTCGATACGACAGTAGTCACAATCCTGCTTACAAAAGTGAAATTCAAAAAAAGGGAAAAAACCTCGTGATTGATTTTAAAAGTACTATCACATGCAAAGATACTAAATTAGAGTGACAGTTTTTTTTAAATTATTTGTTTTTCATGGTTCAAATATGTCACAAGCTACTAAGTACTAAAATAAATTTTTATGAATGTTAGTTTGCACGAAATATATAAGTGGAATTGATTGTGATTACTGTGTGTGCGGCTAATGTCACTGTGATAGGTTTGTGTGAAAACATATGTATTCACAGACTTGTAAATGCTTCCTTAAAGTGATTTGGTCCCCTCCCCTACTGGAAGAGGTTTGAGAGCAAAAGTCTGGCACCTAAATTTGTCTAACTGGAATCTCTGATTTAGCTAAATAATTAAATTATTAAACAGTTTATTGTCATAAAGTTAAAAAAAATGGTATAAAAATAATGGTCAGTATACTTACACATTTTTATTTTATTATCAGATTCTACAAATATGCAGATTTTTGTCAAGACTCTTACTGGAAAAACCATCACCCTAGAGGTTGAGCCATCCGACACAATTGAAAATGTGAAAGCCAAAATTCAAGACAAAGAAGGAATTCCTCCAGATCAGCAACGTTTGATATTTGCAGGAAAGCAATTGGAAGATGGACGTACCCTGTCAGACTACAACATACAAAAGGAGTCCACACTACATCTTGTGTTGCGCCTCCGTGGTGGCATGCAAATCTTTGTCAAAACTCTTACTGGCAAAACCATCACCCTGGAAGTTGAGCCATCGGACACTATTGAAAATGTGAAAGCCAAAATCCAAGACAAGGAAGGCATCCCTCCAGATCAACAACGTTTGATCTTTGCAGGAAAGCAGTTGGAAGATGGACGTACACTGTCTGACTACAACATCCAAAAGGAGTCTACTCTCCATCTTGTGTTGCGTCTCCGTGGTGGCATGCAAATCTTCGTCAAAACCCTGACTGGCAAAACCATCACCTTGGAAGTTGAGCCATCAGACACAATTGAAAATGTTAAAGCTAAAATCCAAGACAAAGAAGGCATCCCTCCAGATCAGCAACGTTTGATCTTTGCAGGAAAGCAGTTGGAGGATGGACGTACATTGTCCGACTACAACATACAAAAGGAGTCCACTCTACATCTTGTGTTGCGTCTCCGAGGTGGCATGCAAATTTTTGTCAAAACTCTTACTGGCAAAACCATCACCCTGGAGGTTGAGCCATCAGACACCATTGAAAACGTGAAAGCTAAAATTCAAGACAAGGAAGGCATTCCTCCAGATCAGCAACGTTTGATTTTTGCAGGTAAGCAGTTGGAAGATGGACGTACACTGTCTGACTACAACATCCAAAAGGAGTCTACTCTCCATCTTGTGTTACGTCTCCGTGGTGGCATGCAAATCTTCGTCAAAACCCTGACTGGCAAAACCATCACCTTGGAAGTTGAGCCATCGGACACAATTGAAAATGTTAAAGCTAAAATCCAAGACAAGGAAGGCATCCCTCCAGATCAGCAACGTTTGATCTTTGCAGGAAAGCAGTTGGAGGATGGACGTACCTTGTCCGACTACAACATACAAAAGGAGTCCACTCTACATCTTGTATTGCGTCTCCGAGGTGGCATGCAAATCTTTGTCAAAACCCTGACTGGCAAAACCATCACTTTAGAAGTGGAGCCATCGGACACAATTGAAAATGTAAAAGCAAAAATTCAAGACAAGGAAGGCATCCCTCCAGATCAGCAACGTTTGATCTTTGCAGGAAAGCAGTTGGAAGATGGACGTACCTTGTCCGACTACAACATACAAAAGGAGTCCACTCTACATCTTGTGTTGCGTCTCCGAGGTGGTATGCAAATCTTTGTCAAAACTCTTACTGGCAAAACCATCACCCTGGAGGTTGAGCCATCAGACACCATTGAAAATGTGAAAGCTAAAATTCAAGACAAGGAAGGCATTCCTCCAGATCAGCAACGTTTGATCTTTGCAGGAAAGCAGTTGGAGGATGGACGTACGCTGTCTGACTACAACATACAAAAGGAGTCCACTCTCCATCTTGTGTTGCGTCTCCGAGGTGGTATGCAAATCTTTGTCAAAACTCTTACTGGCAAAACCATCACCCTGGAGGTTGAGCCATCAGACACCATTGAAAACGTGAAAGCTAAAATTCAAGACAAGGAAGGCATTCCTCCAGATCAGCAACGTTTGATTTTTGCAGGAAAGCAGTTGGAGGATGGACGTACGCTGTCTGACTACAACATACAAAAGGAGTCCACTCTCCATCTTGTGTTGCGTCTCCGAGGCGGTTGTTAAATTTGTGATACATTATTGTGCGTTTAATAAAGGCTGAATATAAGCTAAATAAATAACCAAGATAATTGTTTAAACAACAAAAATAATGAGATTTAGCAGAGTTAGTAATGTGTTACAGTATTTTAATATGCACTGTATCGTTGCAATTTTACAGTTGAATATGGGAAAGTGCTTTACGTTGAATGATTAAAAGAAAAGAATTTAATATTGAATAAAAAGAAAATAATTTGAAATAGTAATCAAGATTAATAAAGTATATCCCTATGTGTTCATTCTACTTCAGTTAAAGATGTACAGTACTATCAGTCATGAGGTAAAGAGATAAAAAATTATATAGTAATTCCACATTTTAATTGCTTAATTTGTATATTGAATTAATTTATTTTAAAAAATCCTATCAATTTTCAGACAGTTAAATAATAAATTTCCTGTATTCTTTGCATTTAATAGATCCTTAAATTGGTTGGTATACAATTTAAGGATTTTACTGTATATTGTAAATTGGTGAAAACTACTTTTTTTAATCTGCTTCTTGTTGGAAGCTAATGTAATCCAAATGAGCTATTCAATTTTTTTGGAATGTTTGAGGTAGTTTCACATCTATTTGACTGATAGTACATCTGTAAAGTGGAGAGAGAGTGTTGTAGGAAGTTTGTTTGCACTAATAACATGTACAAATATAACAAGCGAGGCTCTTTCTTTATCTTGTCAAAAACTTGTTTTGCGAACCTATGTTTTTTAAACGTCGGAGGAGGGCAGAAAGAAATTGAAATAAAATTTTGTTTTATTTAGCAAATAGTTTTGCCAGAAACATCCAAAAGGGAGGAGAAAATAAAAATACAATTTTATTGGTGAACGTGAACAGTGTAGCAATGGGACGTTTAAAGCTTTAAATTTATAGGAAGAAATATACTGTACATATCTTTTGGACATGTCAAGGCGCGGACGGCTAACTGGCCAAAAATAAAACTTTATTTTTATTCAAAATCATCATCATTGGTGGGCGGCGGGTTTGCTAAACAAGGTATAAAGAAGTCTCAACTCGTGTATAATTGTGCGTGCGAGAGTATATATATCTTGTACAGAAAGCTAAAGAAAATGCACACTAAATTCTCTATAAACACCATACTCTATATACAGTACTGAACTGTGAAGAAGGACTACTGAACATCAGGATGGCAACATATAAAAGCACATACGAGGCATAATGAATTGGTTTGGATTGTTTTTACGAGCTACTGTACAGTACTGGTGTTCTCCCACAGTAGTCTGAAGCAGAACTCCCTGTTTGGCCTCCTTGTTTTGTAACTAAAATTGATTTCTACACAATACTTTTTCATGTTGGCAACTTGTCAACTAATTCTTTTGCAATCCTTCCATGTAGTTGTGTAACATGAACTGTTTTGATGCCTGGAATGTTCGGGGAATTCCAAAAACCAATTGTTAACGTAAAGCGTAAAAGATTAACAACAATTTTTTTTTTTTCTATTTGAGTCATAATTTATTTTTTTTTACAGACTAGCTTTCACAGCAGTTTATGAGCAGGTAAAAATATTTTGCATAAAGTATTATACATACAAATCATCAATCTGTACAAAATTTGTCCCTTTTAATGCACAATACTAGTCATAATATGTACCCTGTACAGTAATTAAAAAAAAACATAAGCCATGTAGTCGGCTGATATTACATAAATATTGAGTAATGCAATAGCGTATAAAAAACAAATCCGTCGTAAATACTTGATGTAAACTGGTATTTGCAGTACAACTGGCAGTCATTGCTGTATACAGTACTGTACAAATTCAATGTGCTGGTACACAATTTAAAAAAAAGCAATTATTAATAAAGTAATTTGTATTGAATACAATACAGTATAAATTAAAACCAATCAGAAAATAATTACAGTATAAAAGTTTTACTCTTGTATACTTTAACAAAAAAAAAACAAAAAATGTCAATAATTATGTACAGTAATATTGATATTTATGGTCGGAAACCTCACGAGTACAGTAGTGTGTTTGTTCTTCACTATAATCACAGGCACAACCAGACAAAAATAAAACCTTTTCCACCATTTTCAATTACTGTAATATTGTTATCGTCATCTTTAGATGGGCTCATAAAACATTCATGTAAACCTACTGGGGATGGAATGTTTATTAATTAGTGCTGATAATTATTGTATTGATTAATATAACTGTCCTTGATTAATAATGATCAATAGAGTATCCACAGCATGATGAGCTATTTGAAGTACTGTAGTGTCTTACAATCAGCAATGATGATTTGAACCATGGAATGTGTGTTCCAGAACTTATCTCTACTAACCACTCTACCAGTTAATAATAAGTCCTACAAATTTATAATACCAGTGGTAATAAACTATTTTAATAGAGATGTAAACATTTCCTTTGAAAGATATTGCCACCATACTCTTGATAGTCTGACTTTGAGATCCAGTGAGGCTTGAATGTTGGCATGGATGCAATGACCGACCCACCAATCCAACAACAATAAGCACGATATGCTGGTGTGATCACGTTCGCCTAAAAGAAAAAAACAGTGAATGATGGAATATTCAAGGAAATTTTATTAATAGAGTACTGTACAAATCATGGAGGAAATATGGTACAAATACATTTGACATTCTTATCATACAGTATTCTATCAGCCTAATTGGATAGTGATATTTAGGATCAGGAATACGCGTATGTTCCACAAACACAAATTTACATAAATTTACACTCATTTTGTGGGTCTTTTGCAAAGACATTCAAGGGGTGAGGCTTAACGGAAATTTTCCATTACCTTAGCTAAACCCTCTTTCACCACCAGTTTGTTTAACTCGAATTCAAGACGTGATGTTAATCCAGGAAAGAGTGTGTTTCCACCAGAAAGCAAGACATTCTCATAAAATAGTTGTGTGTAATCACTCTCTTCATCTGCACCATTGATACAACTTTCCACAGCCTGATGAAAACCTGTTTGAAGTCAAAGAAAGAAAATGCACTAGTCAATGCATGCAAGCAAAAATAGTGATTTCATGACACTATTACTGTTTTCCAACAATTTTTGCCATCATTTTATAGAGTGGAGTTGTATTGTTGGCCTACCTACACTCTGCCGTATATAAAAATTTGGCAAAGTGAACAGTGGTTCTCCAATAATAGCTGGGTTTCTAATCTTAATTCTCAGGTCTCCGTGTTCAAACAGTAATGTACTAGAACTGCCATCTTGCTGTTCTGCAATAGAGCACTTTCCATCTGGTGCAACCTGTCCATACTTCTCTTTGACATTTCTGGCAAGCATAATATCACATTCAGTTCTGTTACCAGATCCATTTAAGATATCTGAGACAAGCTTCTGAGTGGTCTTTGTTAAATTACAACCAGTTGCAGTCATCTTGACAATTCCGTAGCCAGTTGCATGCCCTTCATGAAAAGCCACAGCATGTGACGCCCCATACCCAGACTCGATAACAACTCCTGTAAAATACATTTTCAGCACATCAAGTCATGGGTGCTACAAAGCTAAAGCTGACTGGGGTTCAAATAATTACCAGTCCTGTAACTGGGGGTGCTCTAAGCTCTTGCGCAAATTTAGACAGATGCAGTATAATATTATGCATTTTTTGTTCAGTGTTGGAAAAAATGGTGGTTACGCCCCTTTTCCCCTAGTTTTTAAATATATCAAAAATCTGTATCTCATTAACCGTTCATCAATTTTTGGTCAAACAACTTTTTTCTGTCTTAAGTTCTGCAACATATCAAAAAAAAGTTTTCCTCCGGAGCCTGACTTTAACCTAAACTTGGACAACAGGAAGGAAGAATTGTTTACTGTCATATTTACAAGCAAGCAAGAAATTTGCCTTTAACATACATCATATATTAAAACAGTTTAGTACTACTGTACTGTAATAAAATATGATTTCCATACTAATAACAAGGAAGGAGAGGCAAGGACACAGGCAAGCAATGTATGGTTCACTCACCAGAAGCTCTTCCAACCGAATACAATGCCAGGAGACCCTGACTTGAAAGATGAAATGCAGGAACATCAATTCCTTCAAACACTCTTTCCAGACTGTCTTTCCTGCTTTCTCTAGAACAACCTGCCACCTCAGACATCAACAGAGGAAAATCATTTGTGGAAGCCTTCAATTTTTCTTTGTATGCCCATTTGATAAGTTTCTCAGCTTCATCCCAGTTGCATATGGTTCCACTATCCACGATTGACGCTGAAGGAGTATCAGTAAGTATGTCAGTAGGGAACACATGATCTGGGTGACGTTTACCAATCTGATTGAATCCCAACTTTGTTGTTAGCGAACCGACGTCAAGTATTACCGCGTTGGCAGTCTCCATTGCATCATAAGGCAATCTAAATCATGAGGATTGGTATAGTAGGCCCAATTATAGCAACACTGAACTATAATTGAGATTCTATTGACCCTATAAGAATAAAAATAATGTAACCTGCATTCATATGGTGATTAGTACTTTGTATGGGAGATGTCAATCCTGATATTGACTTGAATGAGTAAAGTAACTGGGCCGGATCCAAAAATTTGAAATAGTAGGTCCGGGAAGGGAATTATTACGAATGGAGGGTCCACACTAGCTCCCCATCATGGTTGAGGCTGACGGTTCTGGATTTCCCATGGCTTTGACCTCTTAAGCTTCCGTCGGGGACATCGCACTTCCCCATCATTTTCCCCAGACTTGGACATGACAGGTAAATTCTGACGCTGATGTTTGGTAGCCGGAAATGAAATGTGAATACAATTTTCTCTTTGAAGTCCCCCTGCCCCAAACCATAACTAATCATAAGGCCATGGAAGAATATTAAAAAAAATTTTATATTTTCTTCCTCTATTGTTGGTATAGAGCCACCCTGCATTATTACTAGGCCCATACTTTAAAATAGGGAGCTTTTGATTTGTGTGATGACGCAACGCTAGAACGGAATCACTCATGCGTGGCCGTTCTACCTGGCGTCCTACGTCTCTGCATACGCAGATTTGGCAAAATTGCGTTCCAGAAACTACTCGACAAGGTGACCTTAACGTTCTCGCATGCGCAGATGACTTTTACTGATGTCATTACGTTCTACGTCCTACCCACTGATCTCTACTATAATAGCTGCAGGGGCGGATACAGGATTTAGCAAAAGGGGGGGGGCCTCCAAAGTAAAGATGGACGACCAGCCGAGGTACGAAGCACCAAGGGGGTGGGTTTGGGAAAATAGTAAGATTTTTTGAAATGGTACGCCCTTAAAAGCTCCTACAACAAAGAAAGGCATCTATTATTTAGAAGCGATATGCCTACTTTTACTCCTTTTTTTGTAGCTATTCATTGCACGATTATCTAAAAAAAAAAAAAAATAAATAAAAAAAAAATTTTTGATAAAAGGGTGAGGGGAGCTGGATTGCTCATTGGCTGGTTTTTTAGTGTCAGTGAGGCCGCCGTTGTGTTGGGGGGGGGGGGGGCAAAGAGACGTATCATTTTTGAGAAGTTTCTTTTGGCATTTGTTTAAATTATTGCTAAAAATAACGATTCTTTGTATTTAACGTAATGATTCATCTATCTACTTGATGTGACTTTTTTAATATGCAGTTTAGATAGCTCAAGCAAAGTTATTTGCGTTATTAGGGATAAACGTCACTATAACAACGCGACTTCACTCGCGCTTTTGAAAACTGCATAAACTGTCGCGTCTTTGTTAGAGGGTTTGGAAAAAATTTCTACGTTAAATTTAAATATATTATTGAAAAGTATTGCAAGAATCGTTATTTTTAACTATAATTTAAACAAATGCCAAAAGAAACTTCACTTAGGGCCTAGGTCTCACTTTTTTTCTGTACAGTGGTCCTTCCTACCGTCGTCGTGCAATCGAAAGCTCCCATGTTACCTACAAGGCTGTAGAAAGCCGGCCTAGGTGTAGTACTGCTAAAGTAATTTGCATTTAGATATTAAAACATTACTTTTTATCATAGGCCTAGTAGTAATTAGCTACAAATAATTTCTTATCTTATTAACAATTACAGTTACAATTAACTAAAATATATTTTACCCTAATTTAATACAAGGCATTTGTAATCAAAATCTCCCTCCAAACCAAAACGAAAAATAAACAAGACTTCAATACACGCATGCGCTATGAATGAAAATTTCTCGATTATCACAATCAGCAATCAGCTAGCATCCCATCCACGACTCTGTGTGACCCCGGGTGACCGCAAACGACAACGACATTCTACACAGCACCCGCCTCCGATCGGAAGCGCGTACTAATACGCACGCGCGGTTGAAATAAAAGATACAAAAAGTAAACATTTTGCGTGTAATTTCAACCTCACTCTAGACGAAACCGCACATCACAACGACAAAATAGACCTAAACTGAAAGGGAGCAGTTTATCTGGGGTTTTGGTTTGTATTATATTTGCGATTGCATCAAATTTATTAATTTGGTTATTCCTAGCTAGGCCTAGGCTAGGCCTGCTAGCTAGACAGGAGGCTATCCAGGTTAAACAGAGACATAGTGACATAGGAATTGGCTAGGCCTAACCTAAACTAAGGCTTAGGGCCTAGGTTTGCTAGGCCTTGGCCTCAAGTTTTATTTTATAATTTTTATTGGCAGTGACTGTTGTTACACCAGTCCTAATTCCTAATTCTGATTGGATGTTATTATGGATTAACTGGACAATAACTCTCCAATCAAAATTAAGAATTCATTTTAGTTATGGTTTAACAATAGCCACCGCCAATTTTACTATCTAGACTTGCCTATAATAAGCCAACCTACTAATGAGTAATGTTTACCAGATGGCCTCTTCAAGAAATTAACAATATTATTATCTTTCATGTTGAAGAAAGATTTTATAATACGCCTTTTTCACGAATCGGTAGACATCTTGAAGTGATGACAAACATTGCGAATCAGCGGTGCGTAACCAACAGAAATAAGATAAGCTTTTGGGCTGATTTTCTGACATCATGTTATTTAA